TATGTGTGTGTGTGTGTGTGTGTGTGTGTAAGCCGATTTTAATGCACTCTTCTCTCCGCAGAGTGCATTAATCATTTAATGCAAAACTAGCCGTCATTATCCTGATATATATACCATGGTCATTTGACAAGTTAAAGTTGTTAATGATGTTGCAGCATTGTCAACAAGTTTCTGTGCTCCTTAATGTTTCTGTGTGTGCGCAGCTTGATCTCCGACCTCTCTCTCTCTCTTTCTCTGTGTGCGTCAATGAAAGCAGCACATTAATATAAAATGGTGATTAAACTGACTTGGAACTAGCTGTGGATTAAACGACTTTAATGCATACCTGCCAGCCAATCAGAATCAAGTATTCAGACAGACCATGGTATAAATATAGGCTCCAGCATCCCTTTGACCCTACATAAGTTGTATGGAGATATTTATAAAGATAATATACATAACAGTATATCCTGCTTATATACCTAAACACTATATATCACACATCATTATGTAGCAATAGGCCTATATATTATGTTTTATATAAAATATTAATACAAAATCATACTCTCCTCTTATTGTTTACTGCTTTATCCAGAGCTTTTGCTTATCGTTAAATTAAATGAACGCACGTGCAGACTAATGCAAACCATTCGGATGAAAACCGTAAAGCAAAGAAACTCTGCGAATGACAACTGAACTGGCTAATGAGCTAATGAGGGACTACTCATGTAATAAGAGACTTTGAAAAAAATGTAATGAATGTAAATTATGACACAACACCAACAACTTCAGCTCTCTCACTCACATAAAAAGCACAGATGAACAGCCCGTGGCTAATTCGTAGCTGTATATCACCCACTGCTCAGCGCGTTGACCAACCGTTTCCCTGTGCCCCTCTCCACGTGCAGACAGACGGTGGCATGTACTGCACCGCCACTCGCCCTCTAGTGGTTAGTTGAGAAAGCGCGTGCTGGGCCTGTCTTCTGCTCAGGAGTCTGGTGATGCTGTTGCTGGCTTTTAGAATGCTGTGTCCATATAGGAACCAGCTCAGAATACTGATTCCACAGTGCAGCACTTTTGCATCAGGGCTGCGGTCAGGCAGACTCTAGCCAAGGAGTGTCCACTGTCTCTACCCCGTCTCTCTTCAAAAAATAAAATCAATGCATGTGTATTAATTTCTGCAATCATAAATGGCAACATAAGATGGTTTCTTTACTCATACTGTGGGGTTTCAATGCAGTCTATAAAGGATATGCATAAATATATAAATAAATAAATATAGAAATGGCTGCCTTAGACAATAAAAACATGTATTTGAATATTATTGCAGTTTTCTTTACATTTTAGTTTTTCCTCCATATTTTTATTTATTTACAACATAATAAAGAACAAAAATAGTAGACAAATAAGAGTTATAAATACAAACAAATAATAAAGAAATACATAAATATAATCTTTTTATTTTTATTATTATTAATTCTTAAAAAGTCCAGAGCATGTTTTCTTTATGTTGCACAGATGCTCTTGTCCTTTATAAAGCATCTGTGCACTTTATGACGCTAGTAGTAGACAAGTGCATTTGGGCATTATATTATCCTCCTGAAATGTAGGCTGAATCTTTACAATATGCTATTAAAGGGTTAGTTCACCCAAAAATGAAATTTAGCCCACAAATTACTCACCCTCAAGTCATCCTAGGTGTATATGACTTTCTTCTTTCAGACGAATCTTTTTTGTTCAAAGATCTTGAACTTTGCATTTGTTTGGTGTGTGGATTCCTTTTTTCTTTTTGTATTTTTGTATTTTTTATTGATTGAATCTATGCACCCAATTATATTTTCTTTTTTACTGAATTGACGCACAGTTTTTTCATATAGTGTTTTTGTGCCTTGACTGTGGGAGCAGAAACTTTTATTATGTAGCCAGTGGACTACACTGTTTCATTCCTTGGAGCCTCAGAAAGATTGGTCTAGAAATGACAAAATCTCACTAGAATGCAGTTTTCCATTTGAGAAGCACCCTTTGACCAATCACCACTGCAAATTCAATGTGTGGTTGAAGGGGTTTGTTCAAGTCTAAGTAAGCAGCGACAAAAAAGTGATGACAACACACTCCAAGGTCTAAGCTCATCAAAAAAAAAAAAATTTGAAGGCGCCATGCTTGATAAATACTGATGAATATTGCTGGAAGGGTGGTGGGTAAGGGGCGAAGTGATTCTTGCCAAGAGTGCAGGATATACAGTTGTGCTCAAAATTATTCATACCCTTGGTAAATATGATCAAAGAAGGCTGTGAAAATTAATCTATCGTCAATCCTTTAAAGGGGTCATATGATGCGATTTCAATTTTTCCTTTCTCTTTGGAGTGTTACAAGCTCTTGGTGCATAAAGAAGATCTGTAAAGTTGCAAAGATTAAAGTCTCAAATCCAAAGAGATATTCTTTATAAAAGTTAAGAGTCAACCACGCATACTTAAAACGGCTCGTTCTAACACGCCCACACATTTCTACCTCACTATGTGGGAAGATTTGCATAACGCCACCAAATGTTCACGCAAAGAAAGAAGGCGTAACTTTTATTTTTATTTTAAAAAATTTTACTAAAATCTAACCTTTCATAAGGTAAATAAGAATTTAAAATGGGAGAGAAATCTCATTATGAAATAAATGTTTTTCTCTAATACACATTGGTCACAATTAATCATACCATTTTATCCAATACTTTTGCAACCTCCTTTTGCCAAGAGAACAGCTCTGGGTCTTCACCTATAATGCCTGAAGAGTTTAGAGAACATCTGACAAGAGATCAGAGACCATTCCTTCATACAGAATCTCTCCAGACCCTTCAGATTTCCAGCTGCATGTTGATGCTTCTCTTCAGTTCACCACACTCATTTTCTGTAGGGTTCAGCTCAGGGAACTGGGTTGGCCAG